GCGGGCAGAGGAACGGACCAGGCCGGCAGGTTGGGGCACTGGACAGGCAGGCAAGGGCAGCCGGGGCCTCCGCGCGGCCGGGGAGCCTCCCCGCCCCTCACCTGCGGGCCCCACCTACTCCAGGGCCCCGCCCCTGTCAGGCTGCACCTGTCGGGCGGCACCTGCGGCCCCGCCCTTCCGCGGCCGAGCTCGCCTCCTCCTGCAAGCCTGGCGGGCGGTCTCCGCGCAGTCTGCGAAGTGTTCTCTGAGCCCTGGGCTGGGTGGGGTCCGCCCCAGCCCCGGGGCCCGCCTCAGTGGCGGCTCAGGGAGAGAGGCGTGCACACGCCACCTGCCCTCGGAAGGTCGCGAGCTCCCCCGTTCTTGGACCTCCAGGCCCGGCCCTTCACCTTTCCCCGTCGCTGCCTGGCTTGGCTCACCTGGGCTGAGCGCCTCCACACCCTTCCTGGACCCCGCAGAATCTTATTCCTAACCTGTGGGCTGCCGCACGCCTGTGCTGCTAGGCGGGACACCAACCGTGCACCCCGCGTCCTCTCCCCCGGCGGGCGGGCGGGCGCACAAACTTGGCCGCAGCTGCCAAGGTCTTCAGGGTCGCGGCCCCCACACTAAACACCCTTGCAGGCCGGCCGAGTGGAAGGGTGCCAGCCGCCCCCAGCACAGTGGCGCAGTTTTAAATCAGGTCCTCATCTGGCTGTCTCTCCTTAGTCCAGAATAGCCCCTGGCCCCCTCCCGTCTTCCCGGAGTTTTGGGGGGGCACAGCTATGTCCTGTTGGAAGGCCCTGCTTTCTGGATATGCCGGTGCTCCTGTGAGGTCGTCAGACTTTGCTCAGTGGGCATCTGGGGCAGGAACGCTGTGGGGGGGGGGCAGAGCAAGGGGCACACGGCCAGCAGCCCTCACCCCCAGTTGCCCCAGCTCGCTGCCCCCACGGCCCCCAGCCCCCAGGGAATGGTGCCCGGGGTCTGGGAAGTAGCACAGGTAGCTTCCAGGCCCACCAGCTGAAATCCCTCAAGACCTTGCGGGGATGGAACGTCCTCCTGAGAAGACTGGGGAGCGCCTCTCTCTCTCCTGGTGTGAGTCTGCACCAGCTGGGCAGACAAGACCGAGGGCCGCCACGGGGCGGGATCTTCGTTTACAACCGATTCTCGGCGTTTCATACTCATTCTGTCCTCGTTCTGCTCAGGAGCACCCCTTCCCTGGGACTGTAGAGCCACCTGCCCCCCAGCCCCCCGCGCCCTCCCGGATCAGCGTCCCCAGAGCCCTGGTGTCTTTATGTGGCCTTCTGAACTGTGGAGCCGAGAAACAGGCTCCCGCCCAGGCCTCACGTCACCCGCAGGCTTACACGGCCCCTGTCCCCACTGTCTCCGGCCACTGACTCCCATGATGGCGTGTAGGTGCCTGCCAGGGCACCGCGAAGAACCTGGACAGGAGCCGTTGGCTCAGGGCCCAGGCCAGGGGGAAGGCAAGGGCTGAGACCCAGCAGCCCCCCACCCACACCTGCACCCACAAAAATAACCTCTCCCACATGGTTCTGGAGCCGTGTCCGAGCTCTCAAGGCCTATGGGGCAAAGGAACGTGGCCAAGGCTGGCCTCCCTGAGGTGCGATGCTAGTGAGGGTGGCCCTCAGGCAGGGTGTCCGGACTCAGCAAAGGTGGAGGGACCCCACACAGCGCCCCACGCAGACTGGTGCCAGGGAAGGGCTTGAGGCCACCTGAGACAGGGTGGAGGTCCCTGGCTCAGGGTGGCAGGGTGGGGTGGTCTGTCTGCTGGGGGGGAACTGGGAGGACGGGGGCGGGCACCACTGTGCCTGCCCTGCTGCCTGGGGGCCCCCCTCCCAGCAGGCACTCAGCTCTCTACTTGGGCAGAGTGCAGGCAGCCCTGAGCTGGCTCTCCGGGCCCTGGCCAGGCTTTGGGGAGCAGTCTGCAGGGTAGGGAGGGCCCCTGCATCATCCGGGACCCCCTCAGTGGACTGCACAGCCCTTGGGCAGCACCGTCCCCACTGCCAGGAGTCTTCAGAGTCTTCCCCAACGGAACGGGGCCCTCCTAGGTGGTCCTTCAGCTGGGATCCCAGTCCTGCCTACCCAGGTCCCAAGGCGTCCACTGAGAGCTGAGGTCGGGGGGGAGCCAGGCCAGGCAGCGGCCTCCTTCACCAGTCTGGACAAAGCAACCACCGCACGGTGGACAGGTCATCACAACAGTGCTTTATTAACCCTTCTCCGTACATCACACTGAATGTCTAGCCACTGCACAGGGGTCGGGCTGGGGGGCACAGTCTGACGGGACGGGAAGCCAGTGCGCACCTGAGGCCACATGGGCTTGAACTCCGCTAGGTGGGGCGTCCATCGGGAACCTGGCCTCACGGTGGCACAGCCACACCAAGGGCCATGTGGCACCCCCTTCCGCCGTGAAGCTGGAAGAGGGGGCCCTGAAGCCCAAAGCAGACACTCCAACAATTCTGTCAGCTTCCACCTTGACTTCTGATGTGCCACATGGTTCAAAAATCTTACTTTGAGTGTTACGGGAACATTAATTTGGCATTTTAATAAAAACACTATTTCTAAAAAAAGACATTTATACACAGCTGGTGGGGGGGTTCTCAGGTGGAGCCGGCCCAGGGCACCACTGTGAGAACCACTGCCTGGATGTTATTCTGCAAAATTACAAAGCGCCCTTCATTTTTAAAAAGTCTGGGTTTTGATATTCCAAAAGGGCTCCAGAAGCCACACAACGTTTTCCCAAATCCCAACTAAAAGAGTGGGTGTTTAAAAGGTGGAGTGAAGGATGAAGCACGTGCTAAGAACTCCTGTCTCCTTTCCAAGCAGGTGTCGACATCACAGGCTTCTTCTCCTCAAGAAGCGCAGGAAGGCCGCGGGAGCAGCCACCTGACAGCGACGGTCAAGGACCAGGCGCCTCTGCGAACCTCACGGCACAGAACTGATTTCTAGGTCTGCTGCCGGTGGTGCACCTGGACACGATCCTCAGCGGCAGCGAACAGTTCAGGACAGGAACATCCCACGCGCCCCCGAGGGGGGAGGCCTGCAGCAGGGCCACTGCCAACGTGGCCAGCCCCGAGGGTCCTCGACAAGCCTGGCAGCATCTGGGGGCGAGTGACTCTCCTGGAGGGCGCGGACAAGCGGGCGGTGCAGCGGGAGCGCCCGGCTGTGCCAGTGACCGCGTTGTGGGGATGCCCAGGGCACCCGGCCGGGGCAGCGAGGGGGAAGAAAGGATTTGGGCACAGTTGATGGGGCGCCAAAGCACCACTCACTACAAAGACAACTGCCATCCGCGGGGCCCACAGGCGGCCCAAAGCTCACAGACACGCGCACTTCCTACGGCTCAACCCCCGCCACTAACGGAAGTGTAAGGTAATTCATAAATATTTTAATTAAGCATCTAAAATATATTTCTCAAATAATCGAAATAAAAACCCTTTATAATCCAACTGTTACTTTACAAAGGTTTACATTTGAGAATACATAATCTTATTCCTATTTTGTCAAGTTTCCTCTTTAACGGCTGAGTAAAAATTTTCAAGTAATTTAGAAGCCATCCTTTCTGGGCCCTCATCCAATCACTTCTCGGTCTTTTGGCTAAGATCAAGTGTAGTATCTGGGCCCTCATCCTCCTCTCCTGGCTCACCTGGCCACCCTGTTCCTAGGTCTTCCAAGCCTGTGCCTGCATTCCCCAGAGAGAACGTTCTTGCCCGTAACGGACCCAGACTTTGAAGAACGAGTCCGACAGAGCAGAGCCCACAGCACTCCTCCCCCACCGCCCCCGAGCACCCCCGACCTGAGCTGCCAGGTGCTGAGGTGGCCAGACGCCAAGCCCACGGAGACTGCCCTGCTCCAGCCCCCGGGGTGCGCCGGGTGAGCCCGACACTCCAACGCCTGAGTGTTGGACCGGCCCCCGCCAGGGTGCTGCCTTTCTGAAAGCCCCTCAGGACCCCCCACCACAGGACCAGGAGTGCAGCCACTGGCCTGCTGGTCCGGAGGAGCTGGGAGCAACGCTATGGCAGGGGTATGTGCGCTCAGAGCGCCCCACGCCATCCCCAGACACACAGCGCAATCCGTTCCCATCACCCACAGGGGTGACGGGGTGCTGACAACCCAAAGTGGGAAACTTTCTAAAAGCCACAACAGCATGATCAATTAGTTGAGTGGAAAGGCTTAATTTCCAAGGGCTTCATTAGTATCCCTCCCAGCGTAACTCTCGTCAGCTATCACAGGTCAGACATGCGGTGGTGTGCGAAAAGTCTGTACTAGTTAACTGGTTCAAGGGTTAGGGGAACATCAAAGGTTAAACCAGGCAAGTGCGGACACACACGACAGGAGACTTGCACAAGGCACCCCGTTCCTGTCAGAGAACTGTGGTTTTCAGAGGCCATGGGAAACCCGTTGTTCCAGAGACGACTTTGGAACTGTGCGTGAATAGGTGCCATGTAGGCTGACTGATGGTCAGGAATCCAAGTCCGCAGACTAACGGGCACGTCTTCTCCAGAGCCAAGGAGGGCTGTGTTTCTCTAATTCCCATCTGCATGCCTCCGGCTCCACGGGCACGGGGAGTCCACACGGCCGGTCCTTTCTCCTCTGGGGACAGGAGCCAGCAGGGTGCGGCCCACACAGGGAAGGAGGCACCTTCCTGTCCCGGTCTGGCCCGGGCCCACCTCTGGAGCCAGGAGGCCCGTGTGTGGCCATGACTCCCCAGCCATTGGCGGGCTGCACACGTGGCCACCAGGCCTGGGGCCATGGCAACACCGTGCCACTGTGAGTCCAGACGCGACTCCCTGAAAGGGTTTGGGGATTCCAGACTGAATGAATCTTCATGGAATGATGAAATTAAAAATTACCTGATTATGGAAGTTTCTGATTTATTCCAGACAAAATACTAGATTGTCACTAAGAATCACCTCAAAGCCGTCTCTAGCACAGCAGGGCCCGGCAGCCGGCGCTGCGGGGCGGAGGCCGACGTGAGAGGGGCCCCGAGGCGCCCGTGAGCGGGGCGGGCCCTAATTCTTCACTTCGGCGGCCTCCTTCCCAGCCTTCTCCTTGGCCTTCTCCTTCTCCTCCACCTTCTCCTCCTTTTCCAACATGGCCACGATCTCGGCCACCTGGCTGGTGGAGATGTGGATGTCTTCTTTGTCCACCAGCTCGATCACCTATGCACACAAGAGAGGGACGAGGGGCTCAGGGGTGGCCCTGCCCCCACGCAGTGCTTTCCCCGCAGAGCACGCAGGGGAGATGGAACCCAGCTCCTTCGTCCCAGCAGGAGGGCCCCTGGGGTCCTGCAGCGGCCCTGGTTCCCCAGTATCAGGCCCCCATCCACCCCCAGGAGGCCAACAGGCTCCAAAGCCCCAGGCCAGGTTAAAGCTAGGAGGCAGGGGCGCCTGGGTGGCTCAGTCGGTGAAGTGTCTGCCTTCAACTCGGGTCATGATCTTGGGGTCCTGGGATCGAGCCCCATGTTGGGCTCCCTGCTCGGCGGGGAGTCTGCTTCTCCCTCTCTGTCTGACCCTCCCTGTTTGTGCATGTGTGCTCACACCCTCTCTCTTCAAATGAGTAAAAAAATCTTAAAAAAAAAAAAAAAAGCTATGAGGGAGAGGGACTCAGAGAGCAGGAGATGTGTGCTGTGTGAGGATGTGGGGGTGCGGGGAGGGGAATGCGGGGGCGGGTCCCCAGTTGCGTCCCTGGTCACGGCCGGGGGGCCTGCCCTGGACAGAAGCTCCTCAGGAACATCTCGCCCCCGTGGCTCCACCAGGGCAGAGGATCCAGGCGTGCAGGACAAGGGCATCTGAGCTGCCATCCACACCATGGAAGGGGCCCCAGGGAAGGGGCAGCTGACGTGGGCTTGGGCCTCCCAGCCTCTGCTGCTGGCAAAGGTTAACGCCTTGTCTTTCAAGTGGACCACAGTCACTCAGCAGCTATGCTTCGTAAACATGTGAAAAATCACCAACCAGATGGACAGACTGGAAACTGTTCAAACACCCATGAAGGCGCTCTCCCCTCAGACACTTCCTTATGAAGGTGGAATCCCGTTCCCAGTCTCCTGGGCTGCCCAGATCTTGGCACCAGTGACCCAAGTGCTCCCCTGGATGCCCCCTCAGGGTTCAGGTGGCCCCTGCTGAAGCCTGGCCCGGAGGACGGCCGGACACAACTCCTCCCCGCTCTGAGGTCTGCCCCCAGGCGCCCTGCCGCTGCCGCATCCCCCAACCACACCATGGCCCCACCAGAGACCACAAGAGGCCAGTGTCCAGTCAAAATGCAGACGGGCTGCTCTAGGTGGACACCCTAAGACAAGGGTTTAGTGTGAGGGCAGACACGGGGCTACACGTGGAGAATGTCCACCCCCAGAGACAGCCGTTGGCTGGGCCAGGCAGTCCTGACCCAGTCCCACAGCTCACCTTGACGAGGTCATCGATGTTGATCTTGCCATCCTTATTTTCATCCAGCGCGGAGGCCAAGCTGATGAGCTTGTTTTCTGGAATGTGCTTGATTTGCTTCATGGCACTGATGAGCTCGGTGATGCTGATGACAGTCTCCCTGGGGGTTGGGGCGGGACACAGCCTGTCTGCGGCACAGCCACACCCACAGCCTCACCAGGCCTCCTATGGGTCAACCCTGACCCAGGCAACTGCTCCCTCCAGAGCTCCCTGGCCCCTGCCTTTGGGAATGCCCATCCAACCCGGACACAAAACCAGAAATCTTCACTTGGTGCCAGGTCTCCCTGTGCGCTGCCCCCTAGCACGCCTCTCCACCGCTGAGCAGGACAGAGTGCCCCACGGTTCCCGTGGTCCTCAGGCCCGTGTGTGCCGTGGTCTGGGCGGCAAGGGCCGAGTACGGCTGTGCTGCCTTCTGACCAATGAGGGCGGGTGGGCTGACACAGCACAGCAGGTCAACTCAGGAAGGACACAAACCTCGTCTGGGGGTGAAGACCCCCCAACCCGAGGACAGCAGGAAGCCTGCAGCCAGCCCACCTGCCCCCTTGGAGATGCGGGCACTCAGAGCACAGTGCCCAGCCCAGGGGAGCACCGTTCACCAGCCTGACAGCATCTCACTCACACAATAACCTCCAGAGTGGGGGTCGTCACTGAGCGCCTGTGTGCAAGGGGTTCAGGAAGAGAGAGCCAGCAGGGGAGGGCCCAGGGGCTCCCAGGGGAGCTGCGATCCTATGTACGAATGTACGAAGGGCAAGCTTGAGAGCAGTCTGGGGACGGGTGTGGCCTACGGTGGCTGGGGGGTGAGGGTTGGGGGGGGGACCAGCCAAGCCACAGGTATGGTCCTGACAGTGGCCAAAGTGTGCGTGTGCGTGCATGTGCGTGTGCATGTGTGTGCGTGCGTGCGTGTGCAGGAGCGAGGACCCCGAGAGCTACTTCAGTAAAATGGTTAGTGACAAGTGGAGACTGAGGTGTGGCTGGGCTCTGGCTGGAACCGCTGGGTCAAAGGTCAGGGGTCGGGCACCATGGCTGAGAAATGCACCTCAAGGTCAGCACATCCCCGAGTCTCCCTGTGCCCGGCGTCGGCGCCACACTCACCCCGCAGGCTGCTGCTCAGGGGTGAGGCCTGGCTTGCCGGCCTGCTGGTCGGCCTCCAGCTGGCACAGCAGGCTGTCTATCTGCCCGATCATCTGCTGCACCCTCTTCGTCAGCCTCTTGCTGGCTGTAGACTCCTCCACGTAGATCTCTTCGCCGGTCTTGGAAAGCTCCTTCTTGATCTCTTGCAAGTCCTAACGAAATTATTCAGCTATAAAAGACTGTCTTAAAAAAAAAAATAAAAAGGAACCATACAACTCTGTTTACCTTGTAAAAGTAGTTAAATTAACCCAAAGGTAAAAAGTTCCAGGTTACGGACAGAGCTGCATAGTTGTATCTGCATCCCTCACACAAATTACTCCTATTTTTGCAAACTCAAATACTGACTCTGTAGCAAAGGAAATGGCATCTGTTTAAACCTCATCTTTCTCCATATTTGTTAAAAGAATAAGTAAATGGATGAAAGAATCGAGGAACAGAAAGTGCCTTCTTAATCCCTAATCACGACCGTCTCCATAAGCAAGCGTTACAGGGAGCAATGGGAGGTGGGGCTGGAGACCAGGCACAGGGCTCAGTATTTCTGGTGAACGCCTAATTTCCAATGGAGGACCCACCATGGCAGCAGGCTTGCCATGAAAATGGTTCATTATTTTTACCAATCTCAAAACTAGTCATCTTTTCCCAACAGATCTATGAAAACATAATTCTTTTATAAAGTAGGCTCCACACCCCACGAGGGGCTTGAGCTCACGACCCTGAGATGGAGTCACACGCTCCAACTGAGCCAGCCTGGCGCCCCAAAACAGCTCTTTTAAATCAGATTCGGAAGTAATGTTTACAAAACAGACAGGTTTTCCTTTAAAAAAATAATAATAAATGAAAAGAGCTAGTGTGTAAGAAAGAAGCGTTCCGGGGAACTAGGGCCGCAGCTACGATTCCATTTATCGAGCGGCCTGGTCCCTTCACAGGCCTACGGACCGCCACGGCGAGCGCCCAGCCGCGCGGAGACTGCCGCCCGGCCCAGAAGGAGGCAGGGGGCACCCCGAGACGCCGCCGCCCACCTCGCTGTAGTCCTGCACGTCCTCCTTGAGCAGCTCCAGCTCCTCTTTCTCCTTCGTCAGGGACGACTTCTGCTCTTTCAGCTTCGAGCAGGCGTTGCTGAGTATGTCGATTTCCTCTTTTGTTATTTCCTCTTCCTGCAAAGCAAGCACCCCAACGGAAACCCAGCTGGAGGAAAGTCATCACTGCCCTCCCCCCGCCGCCGAGACTCGGCAGCTCTTCTGTCCACACCGTCTGCTCCCGCCAACGCGTGGCAGAGGCCGGCAGACACGCGCGCAGTCCCCGTCCTCACCCCCGTGGCACCCCCGCCGCGTGTGTATCGGACACGCACACAGGCCCGGGAAACCATCACCCCCTGACGGAGCCCCGCTGGCCACCCCAAACCCTTCTGTCCCCAGGCCAGCTCAGAGCTGCCCCCCGGCAGGGCACACAAGCACATCCCAGACCAGGAGCTCGTGCGCGCAGGACGCCGTCTGCCCCCTCCCTCGGAGCCCCACTCGTGTCGTCCTGTGCCTCCAGGGGCTGGACAGCGGCCCCTCCTGAGCACAGACCAAACCAGCTCCTGTACCGTAGGCCATCCTAGCTCCTCTGAATTTCCACGTGCGTTTCAGAATCAGCCTGTCAATTTCCACACAAAGCCTGCTGGGACGTGATGGTTTTGAATCTATACACCAGCTGCAGAGTAGACACCTCACCAACAAGGACCCCGGCATCCACAAGTGCAGGACGTTCGTTCGTGCTAACCTCAACACCACCACAGCAGTCGGCGTACAGCGCTGACGTGGCTACTTTCAGACTCACCCCTAAGTGGCTCACTCTAGGGGATGGTCAGCAATACGCTGAAATTCCAAGTTGACTACTCGTCACCAGCACAGAGAAGCAGCGCTCATTTTTAGCGGCTCACATCCTCTGCAAACAGGCAGTTTCGCTCCTTCCTTCCGACTGTGTGGTTTTATTCTTTTTCTTACCTAATGGTCCCGGCCAGAACCTCGGCACACTGCTGAGCAGAAGCAGTGAGCGCACACGCGCTCACCAGCGCCCCGCTGTCAGGGGCCCAGCCAGCTGCAGCTGTCTGCACAGAGGCTCTTCGTCGGGTTGAGAACGTTCTCCTCTCCTGGCTCGCTGAGAAATTTTTTTTTTTATCAGGAGCAGATGCTGGATTCTGTGAAGTGCTTTTTCTGCGTTTATCGAGATGCTCATACATGGTTTTTCCCTCTCTTCATTCTGTTACTATGCTCGTTACACTGACTGTTGTTTTGTATTCCCTGGACAAGCCCCATGAGATCAAGATGTGTTAGCCTTTTTACAGAACGGCTGCATCTGATTTGCCACAAGTTTGTTAAGAATTTGTACATCTGTGCTCCTGAAAGAGGCGGTTGTGCAGTTCTCTCCTAGCGGGCTGGCATCAGCTAACACTCATCTCAGAACAAGCTGGAAACGGTCCCCCCTCTTCGGCTTTCCGCAGCCTGTGTCGCACTGGAAGGATCTCACCAGAACCTGGCCTGTGACGCCACATGGGCCTGGCTTTCTCTGTGGAAAAGCTTCCAGCCACAGCACAGTGTCTCTACCAGAGGCGAGCTATTCGGGTTCTCTGTGCACCCCCAGCAGACGCTCAGCACAGCTGAGACCTACGGGACTGCACTGCAAACAGGGACAGACATACTCGTTTTTCCCACCCCTTACGCTAACTTTCCAGGGAACAAAGGCTCTTAGCTGTCAGTTTTGTAAAGGTCTGTGCTTCTTGCTAAGAAATCCTCAGCAGTCCTTAGTTCTCCTGACAATTCTTTTTTTAAAGATTTTATTTATTTGACAGAGAGACACAGCGAGAGAGGGAACACAAACAGGGGGAGTGGGAGATGGAGAAGCAGGCTTCCCACTGAGCAGGAAGCCTGACATGGGGCTCGATCCCAGGACCCTGGGATCATGACCTGAGCCAAAGGCAGACACTTAATGACTGAGCCACCCAGGCGCCCCATCTCCTGACAGTTCTAAATGTCCTTTCACATCTAGGCCGTTAATCTGTTGGAAATGGGATGCATCTGTTTCCATGAAGAAAGCCAACTGTCCCAGCCCTATTTAATGACAGGTGCCCCTTCTCCCCGAGCTGCATTCCATGGGCCCAGCCAGGCTCCATCTCTGCTCAGCTGTGTCCCAGCCTTGCACCCCCTTAAAAATGACCCTGACCCTTCCCTGGGTCACCCTTTGAGCCTAGCGTAGCCCCAGCTTCCTGGGACCCTCTTCCTCCCAGCCTCCTCGATGTGTCCATACCAGCATGTATCTGTTTCCAGGACGGCCCTGGCCTCCCTCCTCACTGTTCCACCCACTGTCCTCCACGCAAACACACGGCCTCTGAGGATGACAGACCGTCTTTGGCAGCCGCACCAGCTTGGATGTGCTACCCCAAGTCTTCTCGCAACAACAGTCTAGATCCTCTCTGAGACCCAGCTCTCCCCGCCGCCTGCTGCAGTGGGTTCCTTCCTTCCCCCATGGACCTGGAGAAGGCTGGCGTCCCCCCAGCTCCTGGCAGCTCCACCCTTAGACCCCTGCAGGGAGCTTTTTCTTCCAGCTCTGCCCCACAATTGCTCCTGCCAAGCCACAGACAACCTCACCCTCCCCATTAGGGGTCAGTCTTCAGGCCTCCCTCACCTGGCCCTCAACACCCCCGACGAGGCCCACCCTCCCTGGGACACAACCTCCCACCAGGTGTCGACGTGTTGGGACCGCATGAGCTGTCCCTCCATAGCCTCGTCTCTCCTCCGACCTCTGAACATGGAGGCCACCGTGTTCCAAGCCCTCCAGGACCTCACTTGAAACCCCCCCGCCACCCAACATCAATCTGCAGCCCTGGTCTCTCTCCTACTCCAGCTGCCAAACCAACGTTGCCATCCGTCTACGTAGATTTCCCATACCCGACACCTGGGAGTTCAGGACAGGAGGCGTCCTGTGGGGGGGGCGGGGCAGGCTACACCAGGACAGCGAGGCCCCCCAGGAGAAATATGTGACTACAGTGCCCAGCACATCAGGCTGGGGGTCACACCAGCTTCCCTCCTCCCCACCGTGCAGCCCAGCCAGGAAGGGGCCTGGAGACCTGCCTTCAGGTATGGATCCCTGGCCACTGGGAGCACAGAGGGCCCGGGGGAACAAGCCACAGGCACCTTAGCCTTCTAGGCGCTCAGGCCCAGAGCTCGGAGCACAGGTTGCTCTTGTCACAGCACAGTGGGCCTCCCGAGAGCATCTCCAAGCTGCGGCATCACCCTCCGCACCCCACAACCATCTGCTGTCACCCTAAGCCTGGCCACAGCGCCTCAGGAGTCCCCGCCCCACAAGCCAGCCCCCTCTTCACCCTCCTGTTGGGCTCCAACACGGCCTGCGTTCCGGGTGTGCGTGCACAGTTACCTTCAAGCCTTCTAGGACAGGGGCCGTGTCCTTCAGGGCCTCTGACGGCAGGGTCACTTCGGGCACTTCGGGCTGCAGCTCAGCCGCAGGCCTCCCAGCGGCAGCCTCTGCCGCCACTTCGGGCTCCACTTCCTTCTGAAATGCAAGGCCACTGCCGACTCAGCATCACCTGGCGCCCCGGCCACCGTCCTAGAGCATCGGTGCCGGCACAGACCGAGGACGCGATGTCAATAGGCCGGCTGTGCGCCAGTGCAGGTTTGAAAGCCCGGTAGGCAGCATGTGGGGGGTGACCCCCGTGAGCCGTCACTGCAGGACTCCGACGGGTGCAGCTACGCTCCCAGGTCCACGGAGGCCCCTAACGCGGTACCAGCATCAAAATCCATCTTCAGTCCTCCCCTGACAACTGCATGAAGCCGCCCCACGACTTCCAGAGCAAACACACCCACCGCCCGGGCCGAGGGGCCCAAAGAGAACGTGGGCACTCTGTCCGTCGGCTGAGCCGGCCGTGCTGGGGGATTGGCACCCAGACCACGGAAAGCCAGCCAAGTCCTGTCCCCCGGACGTTCCAGGCAGAAAACAGGAGACGGACTGCAGGGACCCTCTAGACGCGGTTCCACAAGCAGTTTCTAGAAAAGCTGGAGCAGACAGCCTTTAGCCTGTCCCAACGCCCTGTGTGGCTCCCCCCGCTCTGCCTGGGCAGGCCCACAGACCTGCCGGCTGCTTACCGCTGCCTCGGAGAGCCTCTGAAGCTCCTTCTCCCGATGCTCCTGCTGGATGGCCGCCTCCTCCTGCAGCGTGGCCTCTAGCTTTGCCTTGTTGTCCACCTGCTCACCCTCCACTTCGGCCACCTTCACCTGGGCCTCCTTTGCCTACAGACAGGGTACACCTGTGAAGGGGGTGCCTGCAGCCCAAGGGCTCGTGGTGGCACAGCAGGTTTGGCCGCGGCCAGAGAGGCCCCTGTAGCACCCCCGCCCGCCTGCACTGCCGAGTGGGAACGCCACCTGGGGTCGCACTCAGGATCCCCGTCTGCTGGAAAGGCTGCAAGGCAGCCTAGGGGCACCTTCTGCACCTGTCACAGGAGCCCTCGATACTCAGAGAAAGGACCGATAAGACAGAAGTGGGGGGGGGGCGCACATCCCCAGAAGCGAGAGGGCCCCTTCCAGAGCAAGCCGTAGAAGAGGTCTCCTGGCAACACGCACCACGATCTCCGGGAGTGTCTGCAGCGTGGACTTGAGCTGGTCGGCGGGCGAGAGGGTGTCTGGGAGGTACATGGCCCGGGACAGGATGAGCAGGGATGTTGGGATTTCCTGATGTAGGTGCAGCTCCAGCCACTGCAATCGGGGGTTGAAGACACACACTCACCTGCTGGCCGCGTCCCATCGGCCTCTCCTGGGACCTGGACCCTGGAATTTTCCTCTCTTCTGGTTTGATGGGGGAGGGGGACTTGAGTAGATGGATGCACTAGATCACTCGAGGAAGTTCTCCCCAAAACAAGAATCCTCAATTTCTACAGGGCCCACCTACTGCCACCTCTTATGACCTGACGCCCGCCTCAGCCGACCAGGCCTGAGACGCCCCCAGGGTCGTGAAAGCACGGAGCGAGGCGAGGCGACCACTCTCTCTGCGAATGAAGCTCTTCACTTGCTACTTTTAAAATTTAATTTTACATTTTTTTGGCGGGGGGCAAAAGGAGAGAGAATCTCTAGCAGACTTTCTGCTGAGCACAGAGCCTGATGCAGAACTCGATCTCATGACCCTGAGATCACGAGCTGAGCCAAAACCAAGATTCGGATGCTCTGCTGATGGTGCCACCAGGCGCCCCTGGAAGCTCCTCACGTCCAAGCGCCACAGACACTGCAAGGGTGGTACCTGTGGGCTCAGAAGGCTCTCAGGGCTCTACCAGCCTCGTAAGGGCCAGGCGCTGTTTGGGGGGATGTTCGTGACACAAAGACAGTGTTCAAACGGACCAGGAAGATACGACAAGGTCTGGACAAACTGGACGCGGGACAGAAGCGGACACGGGACGGAGAACACGTGACCGGGAAAGCCCACATACTCTGATTTCCAACAGTGTCCTGCACTCACACGTGCCCGACTGTGCTCAAAGCAGGCTGCCAACAGTCCTGGGCATGCCCGCGGAAGACACAGGGACTCAGCCCATGGAGAAGGTTCCGCCGGGGGACTGCACACTAAACAGCACTTGTGTTGAAAGAAGGGAAGCGGGTGTTGACACACCTTTGTCTACATGTGGAGGACAACTCCCGGGGAGGGAGCCGGTCCTGCAGGCGGAGCTGGACGGGGGCCGGCTGGCACTGGGCATGCGTTAGGTCTTCCGATGTTACACCTCAAGTGCCGTGAATGTCCCCTCTCCAACCTCTAAACTACTCAAACTGATGCCGGCTGCCGCGCTGACCTCTGGATGCTGACCAAGGGCCCCTGAGCCGCTGGAGAAGGCAAGGCGCAGCTGACAGACACACTCAGGATGGCCTGGCCTGGGTCCTATTTACCCAGAGGTCCCTGGCCTCAGTTACGAGACACACTGGGATTTTAAGGGAAGTTCACCTCGTCCTCATCTGTCCACACAGGACCAGAATGGGACAGTAAGAATGTTAACATCAGCCGAGAGCACGTGAGAGAGGTCAGAGCCGCGAACACGGGCTATGTGAGCACACAACAGAACCAGGTCACCAGGCACCCTCGTCCAGGCCCGGCTGCCACCGGAGTTTGGGGAAAGTTTTTCCACAAGCAGCCCATCTATGCTGGTCGGATGGAGGGGAAGCCCTTGAGCCACACACCTGCTTCAGCTGGTCCTTCAGCCGATCCTCTGTGACACCGAGGGCCCGCATGCCTCGTGCCCGACACGCTGACTGCAACTCCTTCACATTCAGGCTGTCCACCCCTTCCTCAGCGATCAGCTGTAAAAGAAAGTCAACTAAGTACACGTGGAAAGGTCATTCCAGGGTTATGGTGTCTCACTGTCAGACACTTTCCTAACATGCCTTGCCAAGCACAAGACGAGCCAGCACCAAGGCCTCAGCTTCAGGTCTGCAGTGACCAGAACTGACGGAAGGCGGGGACCTCGGGGAGGCTCACAGTGGCCAGGACCCCACCTCAGCCCAGGCCCTGCTCCCTGCGCTGGACGGCCCCTTCCCCCTCCTCCTCCTCCTCACGGTCACCCCAGCGTTCCTCCCCACGCCCCATGGCCCTCCAGCCACCCAGGGGTTCTCAGTATCTGCAGCACAGGAGGAAGGACAGAGAGCAGTGCGATCCCGACCTGCTGAAGAGGTGTCCTGGCCTCCGCCCGAGCTCACAGGGACCCAAGGGAGAAGAGTGCACCAGAGTTCTCGTGCCAGAGGCCCCCTCAGCCGGCCCCACTCAAGCCTCAAATGACCCTGTGAGGCAGACAGCACTGCCACCCCCCGTCTCTGAAGTAAGCTTTCCGTTCTGAGATGACTGTAGGTCAACATGCAGACATGACAGACGGGGTTGCTCCCCCGGGTAACGCCACACAGACGATGCTGACAGTCGTAGCTGGCACGGCAACACGACACCAAGCAGGAAACCCTTCTGTCCCCACGAGGACCTCGTGCTTCACAGACACACTCCCACCTCCTGAGCCCCTGGCAACCACTCCTCTGCTCCTCATTTCCGCTGGACGGGGAGCTACGACTTTGGGGTCTCCTGGGAAACCTGTGCACCTGCTCTTCCCTAACTAGGCAGCGCTGCACCGGAAGACCATCCCACTTTAACCGTTCTCCCACTCAAGGGCAGCTGGGTCTTTTCAGTTTGGGGTTGTTATGAAAAAGCTGGGTTTTGTTTTCATTTCCCCATCTTCCTGTGGGTTCCGTGGTTCCATGTGGACTTGTGCCCCATGCTTGCGTGGGACATGCAGTGGTTGCTCACCGTCCACATCCCCGTCCCAGGCCCAGCGACGACACCTCGGCCCCCAGATGCCCCTTGACCTGTCCCCCTCACGGCACACTCATCGCAGGGTCTCCTGCTTCCATGGAGAGCCACCCCACACAGCCCGTTTCCGATGCGACCACGGCACTTGGTTAGCGGCGGACGAGAAGGAGGCCCACTGGATTTACCACGCTCTTTTGTCTTTGTGGTCCAGGCCTCCTAGCACGGCAGACCCGTGAGCAACACCGGCTTCAAGTGTGCAGGTCCACGCACGCTCGGGCTTTCTCCACACAGGACAGCCCTGGAAATGTCTTTTCTCCTCCTTACGGTCTTAGTAGTATTTTCTTTTGTCTAGCCTACTCTACTGTAGGAATACAGCACATAACACGTATCATACACAAAACAGGTGTTTGAGAACCGTTTATGTCATCGGTAAGGCTTCTGGTCAACAGCAGGCTCTTAGCAGGTAGGTTTTTGGGGGTCAAATACACACAGAGGGCCCAGCTGTGCCACCTGCTTGCTGACCCCTGAGGGACACAGAGGCAGGAGCTCCCTTCAGTTGTGTTTTTTTTTTTCTAAAGATTTTTTATTTATCTGACAGAGAGAGACACAGCGAAAGAGGGAACACAAGCAGGGGGAGTGGGAGAGGGAGAAGCAGGCTTCCCGCCGAGCAGGGAGCCCGATGCGGGGCTAGATCCCAGGACCCCGGGATCATGACCTGAGCCGAAGGCAGACGCTTAACGACGGAGCCACCCAGGCGCCCCCCTTCAGTTGTGTTTTTAATGGAGTCAAATCCTGTCTTGGGCATTTTGTTTCTCTTTCTGAGAACGTAACTTGAAACACTACAGAGCCGAGGGTCATATAAAAGGTGGGCCTGTGAACCTCACACAGCTCTGCACATGTCCCCAGTGTACTTCTACTGCCTTCTAGATAATCCCCTTCCCAACACATCACCGCACTTGTAAATGCCTTCTCTACTCTAACAGCGCTTCAGTTATGGATAAAGAGACTAAAAAGGGGACGCCTGGGTGGCTCAGTCGGTTAAGCGGCTGCCTTCGGCCCGGGTCATGATCCCAGGGTCCTGGGATCGAGTCCCACATCGGGCTCCATGCTCAGCAGGGAGCCTGCTTCTCCCTCTCTCTCCCTCTGCTTGTGCTCTCTCTGTCAAATAAATAAAATCTAAAAAAAAAAAAAAGAGACTAAAAAGGAAATTCATACGCAGGTTTTCACATGCATTGGGGGAGATGCGGGGTCCAGCGTCTCTAACCCCCACAACGTTCAAGGGTCGACTATGTCCTTTCCGAGTAGAGATCCTCCTCTAGGTTGAGGCGGACCTGCTGGTGCTAAGTTCTCTTAGTTTTCCTTCGTCTGACAATGTCCTGATCCCCCCCTTTCTTAGAGAATATTTTCACTGGGAATAGGACTCGGAGCTGACAGGGATTTTCAGCACGTGAAGAATACTGTTCCTTCCTTCCGGCCTCTAGGTTCTGAGGAGCATCTTCCCTGGGGGCCAGACGCTGTTCTCATGCACTGCTGTCAAAATCAGCTGTCTTCAGTGTTGTTTCGTTTGATGGTGATGGGTCTTCACGTGGATTTCTTTGGGTGGATCCCACCTGAGGTTCACTCAGCTTCTAAAATTTGCTGATTCAAGTCTTTTACTGAATTTGAGAAGAGTTCAGCTGTTATTTCTTCCAGCACTTTCCCAGCTCTGCCCTCCCTCCTCTCTTTCCAGAACCTGACAAGTATGTGAGATGCTTTCCTCTGGTGCCACAGGTGGCTGAAACCCTGCTCGCTTTTTTTATTTATTCATTGGTGAGAGAGCGAGCGCGCACAAGCAGGGGCGAGAGGCAGAGGGAGAAGCAGGCTCCCCACCAAGCAGGGACATGGGGCTCGAGCCCGGGACCCTGGGATCATGACCTGAGCAGCCACCCAGGCGTCCCTTTGCTCATTTTTTTAAACTGTTTTCTCAGATGTTCAGGTGGGTGATTTCTGTTTTATCTTAAAAGTTCACTGTCTTCTGTCTCTCCTTTCTGCTATAGAGCTCCATTGAGCTTTTTATTTTGGATTTTATTTTTCACTTCTAAATTTCCATTTGTGGGGCACGTGGGTGGCTCAGTCGGTTGAGCATCTGACTCTTGGTTTCGTCTCAGGTCGTGATCTCAGGGTCGCAGGATCGAGCCCCAGGTCAGGCTCCGTGCTCAGGGTGGAGTCTGCTTCAGATTCTCTCTCCTTCCCCTTCTCCTCCCTACTCACACTCTAAAATAAATAAATAAAATCTTCAAATAAAAAAAGAATCCCATTTGGTTTTTCTTTGTTTTCTCTGCCAGGACCATGCTTCCTTGTGGCCACCCAAGGGCTGCTTCACAACCATCCTCTGGGTCTCACATCTCTGCTATCTCCATTGGCTGCCTTTGCTTACCCACTTTGAGAAGCTTCCATTTTTCTTCTTTTTTTTTTAAAGCTTCACATGGAGCCCAGAGCAGGGCTTGAACTCACAACCCTAAGATCAAGACCTGAGCTGAGGCGTCAGATGCTCAACCGACTGAGCCACCCAGGTGTCCCAAGAGCCTTCTGATTCTTAACATGCGGAGTGATTTTCAATTTAAACCCAGACGTTTTGGGTGTTAAAAATGAGATTCTGGATCTTGTTTCAATATTCGATCTTAGCTGGCTCCCTCGGACAGCACTCTGGCATGGGAGTGGTGAGTGATGTTCTAACCAACTTCTACAGATTTTGCAACTGATGATCTGGCATCTATTGATCCAAACTAACAAGCCTACATGGCTTAGATCCCCCCGTGGCCTGGCTTTCATGGGAATGCAAGAATCTGGTTTCAAACCCTCCAACCACAAAGCCTGAGCCCTGTGTCACTTCCTGCGGCTAGCCACTCCTAACTCCTACCGCACGAATAATAAAGGCCAGGTCCCAGGTCCTCCCTCGCTCCCGCTTTCTGGTCCCCAGGTGTGTCAAGGTCTCATTTGGCCCTCAGTGGGGGCTATGCCCCCATTTCTAAGGCAAATGTGAGTCATAAGCTCCCTTCAATGGTTCACTTCTCTGTGTTATCTCTTGGTTACACCCACAAATGACATCCGTGGCAGTTTGGAATAGGTAGGGTGCTGGCTCGTTGCTGCCAGGCCCCCATTCAGCCTCCACTGAGCCCCGGGGGAGGCACTTCTGTTTCTGCTGAGGTAGTGGGGATTCGAGTTCTAATTTTCCACCAGGGCTCCCCATACCTCCTGGGCTAGGAGGGGTAGGCAGCCCACCTGGCTCTGGACACCATCCCAGTGGGGCGCAGGGAAACGCCTGGGAGTGGTTAGGTGAAGTGAAGGCCCTGGCCCCTGCTGGTGTACAGACACTGCACCCCGGGGAAGGAGGGCAGCTCGGCGCCATCAGCCGGCCTTCCTGGACACTGTCCCAGCTGTGACATCCTGAAGAGGGTGGAGGTCTCAGGCCTCAGCCAGCAGTGCACATGGAGGAGTGACGGCGTCTCCCCGGTGTCTCCTGGAGTAGAGCAGTTACTGTCCCAAGTCCTCTGTCTTGCGAAGCAGCCCCTTTCCTGTCCTCTGGCCAGAGAGAGCAGGCTTTTGTTTTGTTTTTTTTTTAAAGATTTTATTTATTTATCTGAGAGAGAGAGAATGAGAGATAGAGAGCACAAGAGGGAGAGGGTCAGAGGGAGAAGCAGACTCCCCGCCGAGCAGGGAGCCCGATGTGGGACTCGATCCAGGGACTCCAGGATCATGACCCGAGCCGAAGGCAGTCGCTTAACCAACTGAGCCACCCAGGCGCCCGAGAGCAGGCTTTTGTTAGGGGGTTTTTTGTTTGCTTTTTAAAAAAGATTTCAGTTTTAAGTAATCTCTACCCTGCATGTGGGGCTCGAACTTACAGCCCTGAGATTGGGAGTCACAGGCTCCAGCGACGGAGCCAGTGGAGCCAGGGCTCTGAAAGTCTGCACACATCAGCACCTCTTCGTTGCTGCCTCTTCAGCCCCAAGGCACAAAGACCCACCTGGTTGGTCCTGGGGTCCCAGGGTCTTCTCCCAGGCTTCACAATCTTGTCACTTAACATCAACATCCAGTGGAAAGGAAGCCCATTCCACCTTCCCAACAGTGGAGGTCTTGCCGCTGTCCTACGTCACAGGCCTTGTCCAAGGTCACAGAGCAGGCGAGTGGCCAGGACTCAACCCCAGGCGACCTGCCCTCGAGCTGCGTCTCCACAGGTGGGGTGGCGGGGAGTGAGGGCAGCCACATGGCAGCCCCCCTCGCTCTGCTGCAGTGGGTGCCCGGAGCACGCTCCTAGACGACCTGTACCACGCCGGAGAAAGGGTTTCTTCTCATCCTTTCAGAAACACAGTGATGCTCTGCTACTTCAAGCTACAACGAGGAGCCGTTCTCATCCGACCCACTCCCCTGCTGAGAGCTCCTAGAAAGGCGATAAACCACACACGATACACGGCAGGCAGCGTTGGAAAGCTAACGCAACTAGGGCTTGGGGACAGCGAGATCACGTGGACAGAGACGCCAGGCAACCACGAGGTGTGGGCTGCCCGTCTGTGAGCCACTGGGGACACGGCGACTTCGACCAACTTTTAGGGCAGGCTGAGTCCAGACCTGGGGCCACGGCTGAGAGGCAGAGACATCTCGCAGGGCTGAGAAGATGACAGCCGGAGTCGAGAGGCTGCTGGAGCAGACAGGCCTCAAGGGCCGCCGCCCAGGGAGAAGGACGGGCGGGGAACAACCCTGCTGTCAGGCACTCCAGCTGAGCAGCACAGAGTCGAGGAGGGGGGCAGAAAATCTTCACAAAGCAGAGGGGCCTCCAGGGCCCTGCTACACAGGCGGCACTGTGGGGAAGGGCCTCAGCCAGGCTGCAGGCCCGGCCCTGACCGCAGCTGTGACCCCCAGGTGACCGGGCCCTCCACAGCAGAGGAGACTCGGGTGGGCCCCTCCCGGAGGAAGACGGCGACACCCGGAAGCTCAGAAACTTCCCACACACGTGTCTGCTTTCGGGCACAACCGGATGCTGCAAACACACAAACCCAAGAAAACAGACCAAAGGCCTCCAGACTGCAGCTGTCAGAATAATCAGACAGGAGCGTGAAGTGGAGCACGAGCAGTCTGGGGCGGGGACTGCGCACCTCCGAGGTGTGCGCCTGGAGAGCTATGGGGCACCGGACACCGGAGACTGTGCGGCGAGAAGCGCCGGTGGAGGACAAGGCGGTTTTAGGAGCTCCTCCCAGGAAAGGTGCCCTGGGCTGTGGGCAGCTGGGAGGACACAGCGCTCGGCGCAGCCCTGGGAGTAATCTGCTTGTGGGCTGGCACTTGCTTTGGACCTCGGCCCTTTCCCTTGGGAGCCCCACTTGTAGTCACTCTTTTTATGAAAATTATCAAAGATCTGGAACAAAAATCCATGTTAAGAGATGTTTATTACAGCACTGAGTAGCAAAATATCAGCGAAAGTGATGGTTAGGAAGTTATGCATCCATGTAACAGTTACGACACGTCCACGTAATGAAACAGGCAATCGTTGCCAGTCATCCTTCTAACAAATACTCAGCGACTTGGGCAGGTCTCCTAATGTCCTGCCAACTGACCACCTGTTGGGACGGTCCCAGCCTTACTGCAGCAGACACACACATGCACCCAGTGTGTGCACACGGGGCAGAGTGGGCAAAGAGCCACAATCTGGGAACGACAGGGCCACCAGAGCTTTAGAGTGAGGACACTGCTGCTTTTGCAACCAGAAACCTAAGGCACCTGGAGAGGCAGAGCTGCAAGCGCAGGCCGCTCACCTTGTCGTCAGCCTTGATGGACCGCAGCCTCATGGTGAGCTGGAAGCGCAGGAAGTTGTTGGTGCCGATGGACTGGAGCTCCAGCAGCTTGCACAGGGCCACCAGCTGCGGCCGCGTCAGGTTATCCAGGGTCAGCTCGTCCTCAAACAACTTGGAGAAACGCAGGATCTCCTCATTGCTGGGTCTCTCACCCGTCTCTCGGATCTGCGGGAGCAATCACGTGGGTGAGCCACCGGGCGGGGCGTGTGTGTGTGCCTGCGCTCCCCGGCACCACCCATGGACTTGGGCCACAAGCCTCAAGTGAAGAAACAAAGGAGGACCAGCTTAAGAGCCCCGGACCATCCACACCCTCCGTCGGATCTACCTTGTCATTATGTTCCTGCTGGGGAGCCACCCCTCGAGGGCTCCACGCCCTGAGCAAGCCTGCGCTGGCTCCCCATGGAGGACGCCTCCACGCAGCACACGGCCACCTGCTGCCCCCCTCCTGCCCGTGCCAGCAGAGCCACGGCTGCTGGCTGGCAAGAGGCTCCTCACTGTGGATGTAGCTGGGGAGCAGCCCCCAAGCCAGCCCTCCAGCACATCACCTCTGCAGGGTCTTAGTTCCTCATCTGTCAAACTCTACCTCAGGCTCTGGGGCTGCTGCGAAGTCTGGAGACACAGGCAAACAATGGTGAATGCCAGTGAGGTTCAAGTTCTCAGGAGAGCAGGCCTGACCTCACCGAGTACGGGGCCAGGGTGGGGCTCCTGGTTACACCCCCTACGGCACTAGCCCACGCCTGTCGGGGAGCCCCACTCTTGCTGTGTGCCGTAGAGCAGAGGGAAGAAAGAAGTGAGGCAGTCAGACATGCCCCCACATAAGACGGGGCGGCCCTGAGGCTCTAACCAGCACTTGGGACCCATGGGCTGAGGCCACCAGGGCCCCGAAGCATCACAGCACCTTCTGGAAAAACACGGAGAAGTCTTTGGTGGCGTTCCCCTTGGCTGCCTTGTTCTTCAGGGCCATCTCCTCAATGGTGTCCTGCAGGAACTTGGCCAGCTCCAGCTTGACGCGCAGCTCCTTCTTCAGCCTCTCCTCCTGTGAGGTCAAAGAGGGGGTGCTGCACTCCCCTGGCCCGCACCCCGGCCCTCCCACGGCTTCCCTGGCTGGCACCAGTCAGAGCAGTTGCTCCTAGTCCTCTGATGGGAACCACAGCACGGAGTTCACAGTAGCCCTCAACCCAGTGCCGCCACATCTCCCCGAACGGCACTCACTCCCACCCAGGACCCAGGTGCTACGCATTGAGACCTTCTCTTCCATTTCATGGTTTTAAAAGATACTTGTGTGGCCTCTTGGAGCAGGGCTGGCCAGTGACGCTTCTAAGCTTTGTGTGTGGCGTGAAGTCCATGGCTCTTACCCCCATGCACAGCCTCAACCTGTGGTCTGAAGAGCTGGGCTAGAGAAACCATATTCTAAAACACGTTTACAGAGAAGCATGTCCGGAATCATGGCTGAGTTACGAAGGAGACACAGGACATCTGAATGTCCACCTAACTACATCCGCATCCGCCCTGCCTTGAGCTCGCCGCCCCCGACGCCCCGTCACCTTGATGGACTGGGTCTCGAACGTGGACGGCAACATATTGGGGAAGAGCTTCACAGCGACAGGAAGCAGGAACTCCATGAATGGCACCACCACAAAGACCAGGAAGGGGACCAGGCGAAAGAGGTCAGCGCATATCCGGAGAAACTGGGAAAAGGCCGAAGGGGTCAAAGGGTGAGGCGACAACACTGCTCACGTGACCCTCAGAGGCGCGACCGCAGGCAGCACCTGGCAGGGGTTGGCAAGAGCGCGAAGTCCCAGATGGCTCCGCTGACTGCTCCCAAAGGCGGCTCTTCCTCCCGTGTCTAAACCACGGAAGACAGCCTTCAGAAAGGAGGGGCGGAAGTTCGCCCTAGCAGTGGCCCCCATCCCTTCATGCCCCGCCCACTGCGGGGGTCCTGCTCTGCAGAGACGGCCTGACACAGCCACGGCGCTGCCCACCAGGCCTGGGCGCCCCGGGACGGGAGCAGCAGGCTGACGACTGGCTGTTGCTGGCACCAGCAAGGGCCACTGGGGAAGGCTGTGGCCATGCCGCCCACCCCAAACAGTCAGCACAAAGGAAGAGTGTTGGCTGTGTGTTTCTCAAGATGGCCTGACTTAACCCTGCACTACATAGCAATGATTGACAAACATCCAAGTGCTTCATCAATATAATCAACTACCGCTGAAGCCATTAAAGAAACGCACAAGTTGAAATCATCAAAAATCCCTGAAAGTGGACACTCCCTGCTGCACCCCCAGGCAGCTCAGCTTTCTCTTCACTCACGACCAGTCAACTACAGTTTGCACTCACAACTGCCTAGGCTCACAGGCACCAAAGGCACTCCCGTGCACGTCCACGTGTCTGTGTCCACTGTCATGAACTAGACGTGCTTTCGAAGAGCGACGTCAGTCCTAGAAACGGCTTCATTTCAGCCTCATCCGACACTGAGGATTGGGCTCGGGGTCCATCCCCGCTGGAGCCCAGCTCCTTGAGTGCTGGCGGTCCCTCTCATCCGCCAGGAGCCACCTGGCCCTCGACGCTGTGCGCCCTGAGTTTGTGGATGACACACCTGAGGCTTTTCTCCCTAGACGGCACTCATCTGGCTCTTCTCAAACCAGTCTCTACTCTGCGGGCCACAGAGCAGGGACCCCCAACCTGAACCTATCTCCTCATTTACAAAGCTCGCACGTTCACTTTCCTATTTATTGTCAAAACAGATTCACGGATTCCTATATTTCTTCATTTGTTTACAATTCATTACTATTTTTACTTTTATATTCAAATGGTCCAGGATTCGACCATGGAAAGACCCTTCAAGTTGATGTGGTTTCTGACATTTGTCCATTAATTTTTTTGTTAGTAGTTCTATTGAGGTGGAGACTCTCTCTCCCTCCCCCTCTGCCCCCCCCCCAAACAAAACAAAACAACACAACCCACCACAACAAAAGATACCAGAATAATGGGCTTTGGTAAATCTGTAAGACACAAGATCAATATATAAAAATCAGTCATACTCCCGGGGCGCCTGGGTGGCACAGTCAGTTGAGCATCCAACTCTTGGTTTCGGCTCAGGTCCTGATCCCAGGGTGGTGAGATGGAGCCCCTTGTCGGGCTCTGCGCTGGGCGGGGAGTCTGCTTGGGATTCTCTCTCTTTGTACCGCCACTCGTGCACACACGCATGCTCTTTCTCTTTCAAATAAATAACTCCTTTTTTTTAAAGATTTTATCTATTTATTTGATAAGAGACACAGCGAGAGAGGGAACACAAGCAGGGGGAGTGGGAGAGGGAGAAGCAGGCTCCCCGCTGAGCAGGGAGCCCCATGTGGGGCTCGATCCCAGGACCCCGGGATCATGACCTGAGCCGAAGGCAGACGCTTAAGCGACTGAGCCACCCAGGTGCCCCTCAAATAAATAAATCTTAATCAGTTGTACTTCTATATATAGTAGACCCTTGAACACCACAGAGGTTAGGGGCAGTGACCCTCCCACCCAGTCAAAAATCCACGTATAAATTTTGACTCCCCCAAAAGGTAACTGCTAAGAGCCTCCTGTTGACAGGAAGCCTAGTGAGGACACGAACAGTTGACGAACATGCATTTCCTGTGCTGTATTCTTACAATAAAGCCAGACCCCCCCCAAAAAACTAAGAGAATCATAAGAGAAAGTACATTTGCAGATTTGGAGTAGTGTGTATGTTTTTTATATGTTTATACATTTATTAAAAAGTCTGCACATAAGTGGATCCACACAGTTCAAACTTGTGTTGTTCAAGGGTCAACTGTACTAGCAATGGACAACTGGAAACTGAAATTTCAAAGACTCCATTTACCTACAAGAGCCAAAAGATGGAAGAACCCAAGTGTCCATGGAAGGACAGACCGATGGATAAACAAAACGGACACGGAATCCACATGGTGGAGTGTTATTCAGCCTTAAACAGGAAGGAGACTCTGACACCTGCCACCACCTGGGTGAACACTGAGGACACTGTGCTGAGTGAAGTGGGCCAGCCACCAAGGGACGAATGCTGTGTGACGTGAAGCCCGCAGAGGAGTCGGGTCACAGGGGACAGGAAGTAGACGGTGGGTGCTGGCGGCCGGGGAGAGTGTGGGCGGCTAGTGTTTCGTGAGGGGCCGAGCTCCGGTTTGCTAAGATGGAAGAGTTCTGGAGATGGAGGGTGGGGACGTTCACAGCAATGTGAAGGTATTCAGTGCCACAGAAGCACATACGTAAAAATGGTTAAAATGGTAATTTTAGATTGTGTATTTTACCACAATAAAAAATTCCATTTGTAATAGCATCAAAAAATATGACACCATACAATATTGCTCAAAGAAATGAACAAAAAATTGTTTTATTCCACATTGGCAACCCCCAGAAGTGCCCCCCTTGTTTATTTTCGAGTCTTTCCTTACTTTCCGACACAGGCCCATCCAATGTGGTATACAAGCTCATCTCGTAGCACCGTGGGCGAGCGCTGTCTCTGAGGAGTCCTGGTTCCTCCTTGTGGGGCGGTTAGAAGCCAAGGGCTGGGGGACCAAGTGTCACGCCTGCCACACCTGCTCACCACACTGAAGGGAGCAGAGGCTAGAGTGGATAACAGTCTAACAAAGCCAGAGACTGTCAGGAAATAATGCCTCAGAAACCGCGGTGACTCTCGATCACGCGCCTGGTGTCAAAGGGTGGACCAGCAATTTCACCATCCTAAGAGCATCACCACATGGTGAGCATCAGCACTCTTAACACGCTCCACCTGAAGCCAGCACTTGGAGGGAAAGCTCTGGAAGGAGGAGCCATGAGCACACTGGGGAGGCAGAGCATCAAGCCCCCATCTCCCCAGAGACCCTGGGAGCCAAACAGGCCCTAACTGCACCCCTCCACAGAGGGCTGCGTCAGATGTCAGCCGCACGCTGGCCCGGCTAGAAAACCAGGACCTGGAAGCGTCTGGAGCGCACGCAGCTAATTCGAGCAAGGACGGAGGCCCAAGACAGCACCATCTCTGCCCACACAGCCACCTGACACACCGTCAACAGATGGTGCTGTGACTGTGGACACTCGGCGCTGCCACTCTGAGTCACTTCCGCGGGTAAGCCAGATCTCCTGTGACAGGGCACAGAAGCACTCCCTCCACCAAACACTGCAGGTCCACGGGCCCGAGTGAGGGGACAAAACTCCTCTCCAGATACTTGTATCCCACAGGAATCCCAGAGAGTTCTGTCATTCTGTACTTAACACGATCAGCAAGCATCCAACAGCTGCATGACCTTAAATTCACATTTCAAATGTACCTCCCGCTTACACAACACTTACACAAATTATTTTACAATCTCTTCGCCTTTGTAAACATAATTTAACAGTCACTTTTCTATAATTATCAGGACTGCCAACATTTTGTTCAAATTCGAAGTACCTATAAGGCCCTAAACCGAGGGAAAAAAGCATTGCTCCACAAGTCCTCTCCTTAAAGCTGGCAACATGGATGCACGGCCTCAGCCAAGCCCGTGTCCGCACTGGGACGTCGCCCTGGGACGTCGCCCTGGGACGGGCTCATCTGCTCCAACTCTGTTTTTTCTTAAAGTTTCACTGTCTTCAATGAAGTAGCAAACACACGCACCTTTCAAGGCAGAATGGGATGGGGGGAGGAGCAGAAGGGAGTCCAGGTCATAAAGCATTAACTTGTGCACTGTAATCAACACCCAGCGAGCACTAAGAGCATGATTCTGAAATCCCAATGCCACTGCTCCTTCCTCCAATCCTCAACCTGCTCCCTCTTAAAACAGCATCTCAGGGGACACTCCAGCCAGTTAAAACAATGACCCATGTTCTCCATGAAGTTCCTGAGAACGAGTATAAAATCAGAAGCCAAAGTAACTCTCATACATGACAGCCAATTCCTAAGATCCTTGAAGCTCAACTTCAAGAGAACAGACATCACTGCACCTCTCCTTGGGGAATCGGAGGGTGCTGAGAATGTAAAGTTGCCCCCTGCCCCTAGGGACTCACCAAAAAAAAAAAAAAAATAGCAAGAGGGGAAGAAAGAAAGGTCAACGGTGTAACCATCAGTTATTTCAGACAAGATAAGAGACCTAGAAGGTCTGGGCTCCTGGAAAAACAGGAAGACTTTTTTAAGAGCTGGGGGATGGCATGGGGCACCTGGGTGGCTCAGTCGGTGAAGTGTCTGCCTTCTGGCTCAGGTCATGATCCCGGGGTCCTGGGATGGCGCCCGTGTTATTGGGCTTCCTGCTCAGCGGGGAGCCTGCTTCTCCCTTGGCCTCTGCCCCTTCCCCCAACTCGTGCTCTCTCTCACTCTCTCGCCTCTCTAATAAATAAAATCTTAAAAAAAAAAAAAAGTGCTGGTGGACAGCAGAGAGAGCTGGTGCACCCCATGCTGAGCCAGAAGCTCGGGCAGCGGGGGCAGGTGAGTGGGCAGGTTCTGGAGCTGAGGACACACGTCCGGGAGCTCCGGCAGAGAGGCAGTGCCGCCGTCAGCGTGTCTCACAGAGGGTCGAAGGCTGGTTTTTCTGTGTTTTATTTTGTTTTTTTTTTTAAACCAAAAGTGGCAGAAAAAAAGCTCTAAACGTATTTTAAAGCACCTAGGAGGGGAATGGACCAGGAAGTCTCGCGTGCCCATTACCTGCCTGCGCTCTCTGCGGGTCAGGCTGTGGCCATGGAGGATTCGCCAGAGCATGCGCGCAGCGATCTTGGTGTCAATCCAGAGCAGGCGGAAGCCGTGGTAGTAGTGCTTCAGCTCGTCCAGGACCCTCTGCCCCAGCGACTTCTTCACCGCCACCTCCAGGGGGGGGCTGTACACAGGGCCTCCCTCCTCCAGCTTCTTGTTCTTGTCCTTTAGGGACTTGAGGGACTTCTCCACCACAGAGTCATCGCCCAGAGGGGGTGACGAGTGCCAGCAGCGCAAGGGAAGGAACGGTGGCCCTGGGACAACCAGACTGGTGGAGGTGGGGGCCCACGGCACTCCGGCCGCCGAGCACACGCGCTCAGGCCTCAGAGTCCAATAGCCACGGGGATCGGTTCTGAAGGAAAGGCGCACAGGGTGGACGGGAGTGCAGCAGCGAAATGGCACGTTCCTTGAAAAGGGAAAAAGGAAAACAGCGAGATGAGGAGCCAGCCACTGCCTACGACCTCCCAGCACCACATACCGACGAGAGTGACACAAACAGGGCCATATCACAACTACACGCACACTCAACCTTCCTGGCACATGAAACAGCCTCCCCACCGCTTCCCGATGCTCAGAAAACACATCAGGAAGAGGAGGAGCTGCTTGCAAGGGGCTTGTGCGAGAGACCAAGGGCAGCCAGTCCCCGTGGGCTCATGGAGGGCACCAGGGCACCAAGGAGCATGGGGTTAAGGGACAGGCTGGACACAAACAGCAGAAGCTTTACCCCTGGACTAGACAGACCCAACCTCGGGGCAGATCTCCCATGTGGGTTCCCAAACTTGGGGAATTTGGGGTGGGGCCGGGTGGAGGGCGGGGTCCTTTCCCCTACCAGGTGACTTTCTACAAAGACCTGCAGCTCTCGAGCAAGTCCTAGAAGTCAGTGAGGACACTCGAATCAATGGTGACCCAACCCTGTGTGCAGTCCAGCAAAAGTGTTTGTGCAAAATGCCAAAAACCCAACAAATCACGTCCAGAGCCTACTCCTCCGTCTCTTCCCCGTGCTGCTCCGTCTGCTCAGCCCAGAGCTGCAGCAACTTACCTGCACGGTTCTCAGAACCCCACCGTCTTCTGTGTGCCTCACCTGTCCTACCGGAAACCTCCTCCCTCCCTGGTGCACAAACCCACTTCTGGGAGGCCACAGGCTCCCAACTTAACCTCAGAGGCGTGTGCTTATAAGCAACACGCCCCGGCCTCTTCCCATCTGCTGGATCATCTCACCGCACCTGGCCCAACACCAGCAGTGAGGACCTGAGCTCTACAGCTGCCTGTCCCAGTTCAAATTCCAATCCACTACTTATTGCTGTGAGACCTTGGGAAACTTAATTAACCCCTCTGTGCTTCGGGAGCGTCCTCTGTATGTGGGTGTGGTACTATATATGAAGTACCCAGAACAGTGTCTGGCACGAGCAACACCTACCAGAAAGGTGGCAGCTATGATTACTGTCCCATCAAAGCAGCTGAGGGCTGGAAGGAAGCTAGTGAGTGTCTAGTTTAGCTGCACCTTTTACGGATGGGGAATACCGAAGGACAAACAGGCACGTGCCCACCTCAGGCACGGGGCGCTGCCGGCTTCCCACTGATCAACCCCGTGCTGGCCTCCGGCCTGTCTGCAAGGGCAGGGTCAGTCCTGTGCCATGAACCCCAGGTCCCCACAGTCAACACCTGAGCGGGAAGGTGGTGGCCTTGAGCTCACCCTGCTGGGTCACAGCTGGAAGGGGCAGGCTGCACGGCGCACAGCAGAGCTGCTCGGCCACGTGGGGCTGTGAGACTGTGACCACAGCCTGGGCCCTCTGCGCCTCCACCTCACCTCCCAGTGCGGGCGATGACAATGCCCACACACGGGAATAAACCTTACCTCCTATCCCTGTCAAACTTAATTATCCCATGTTCCAACCCTCAATTAGCAAAAGGAAGCAAGTGGCTTCCCTGAGAAGGCATGATTTCAGCAGCTGCAGGGGGCGGCCCACAGGCAAAGACAGACTCGTGAAAACAGAGCAAGCACAAAAGCACCTGGTGTATCCAGCTGGGCCCGGTGACGCTCCAAGATCTGGCCATCTTCATGCACACTAGAGACTAGCATTACTAGCAATCTAGCCAGAAAGGTTTAGCTATTTTCAAGAAGCATAAAATTGCATAATCTGTTATTTTAAAAATATTCGTCAAAATAACACTAATCTGCGCACGGCTGGCTGTCTTCCCATGGGCAGCTGGGCCCTGCTCTGCCCCGGCTCGCGAGAGCCCCTGGCTGGGCCTTGCTCCCAGGAAGCGCGCACCCGCCCCACCCACACAGGGTCAGGAGGCCTGGGGCCTTCTCCTGCTTTTCCCCGTTGTTCCCTTCAAAGTGGGGAAAACCCACTCTGGGCAAAAGCAACGTGTCAACAAGAAATTCGCAGTCACTAGCGGACAGACTGTTGGCATTAAAGCTTGGGGGCTCCTATCGAAGCTGCCCGTTTTACTTTAGGGTGCTGATGCCTACATCCACCTCAACACAAACTTGCTGCCACCTTCAAGAAAAGAAAAACTAAGGACACCCTGGCTGGCTCAGTAGGTAGAACATGTGGCTCTTGATCTCGGGCTTGTGAGTTTCAGCCCCACACTGGGTGGAGAGAGGACTTAAAAATAAAATCTTAAAAAAACAAAGAGAAAAACTAAGTCATGGGGCCCCTAGGTGGCTCAATGGGTTAAGCACTGCCTTCAACTCCGGTCATGGTCTCAGGGTCCTGGGGTCGAGTCCCACATCGGACTCCCTGCTCAGCGGGGAGCCTGCTTCTCCCTCTCCCTCTGCTGCTCCCCGTTTGTACTTTCTGTGTCAAATAAGTAAATAAAATCTTTAAAAAAAAGAAAAACTAAGTCGTGCCTGGCAAAAGAACACATTCACAGGGTCAGCATTTCCTGTGCCTTGTGGCATCAGCTGCACAACCACAGGGTGGCATGGCAGGCAAAGGGACCCACACCGGCTCTCCCCGTGGCACCTCCCTAACTCTTGTCAATGGCAGAACTCCTGTGCCCACCTGACTCCTAACATGTCCCGTTCCTGAGGGGACAGCTCACCCGGATGATGGCCTGAGGTTGGGCCAGGGAGGATAGCAAACCTCCACGTGCCACCTTCCATTCGTCAGGGACATGATGCCGGCAAGGGCAAAGTGACACCAGCAGCAAGAAGGGAAGCAAAGATTGACAACAGAGCAACAGGTACCAGGACCAAGAGGAATGATTCCCGAAGTGCAGGCCATCTCTCTGCCCAGAGACAGGAGATGAAACGGCACTTGCCTACAGGACAAGGGGCCCCTCTGCGAGGGAGCTGGAGACCACTGCCTGCAATATCTCAACATCTGTCAGAGCCCTCGAGGCCCCGTGACAGCGCACCCTGTGCCAGGAGCACTCCAGGGACCGGGGAAACAGCTAGCACCACCATTTTAGCATTTCGGCAGCCTGTCTTATGAGCACTCGCACTGAACCAGACTCTGGAAAGAGCCTCACGCAGCCCCAGTCTTCCTACGAAATGAGCTCCAGGACTAACGAGTTGGTTTGCTTATTCCCAATTTTAGGTGCTCCCTTGCTGTCTTTTATTTTTATGATAAAGGAGGTCAAGAGCAGCGAGACAACGCCCATGACATTGTCTTGGATCAGAAACTCCCCACCTGCTCACCCTTTGGGGTCTGGGCCATTTTAGCTGAAGACTGAGATAGTAAAAGAACCAACAGAGAGAACCACACTGGCCTCAGGACAACGCGGACTTCTGTGGCTGGACCCACTTATGCGCAAAGGTTTTCTGATAAATGCAGGACAGTCCATGGGGCGCCTGGGTGGCTCAGTTGGTTAAGCGACTGCCTTTGGCTCAGGTCATGATCCTGGAGTCCCGGGATCGAGTCCCACATCAGGCTCCCTGCTCAGCAGGGAGTCTGCTTCTCCCTCTGACCCTCTTCCCTCTCATGCTATCTCTCATTCTCTCTCTCTCAAATAAATAAAATCTTAAAAAAAAAAAAATGCAGGACAGTCCTGTAAGTACATTTTCCTTACGATTTTCTTCTGTCTAGCTTGCTTTATTGTAAGAACGCAGCATATGATACACGAGATATGTGCAAATCGACTGTTTATGTTCAGCAAGGCTTCTGGTCAACAGCTGGCTAGCAGTTCAGCTTGGGGAATTCAAGTCGTGTGTGCATCTTCCACTGCCCAGGGGTCGGCAGCAGACCCCTCCCTGCATTGTTCAAGGGTCACCTGTCCTTACCCATGCGGCTCAGTATTTCTTATACTGAGCCATCAAAAGGAAAAGCAACATGTCCGGGATGCTGAGCTGGTAAAGACTTCAACTCTCACCTGGAATCTCTCATTTGAAATGTAGGCGTTCAGCTAAACAGCTTTATAGTTCCCATTGCTCAACATTTTTTTTCCCCTATAATCTTTTAAGTAAGCGCTGCAGACAACTTGGGGCTTGAACTCACAACCCTGACAACAAGAGTCACCTGCTCCACCAACTGAGCGAGCGGGTGCCCTACATTGCTTAACTTTCCAAAGAAAGTGCTTAACTTTCTAAAAATTATTAGCTTAAAAAAAATTTGTATTAATAAAGCAGTTTTTATGTTTTAATATGAATTTTAAATGCAGGTACATTTGACTCTTAAAGGTGCTTGAAAAATTCAACGTCCATCCCTAATAAAAACATTTTAGTACAGTAAGAATAAAAAGGGCAGAGAGTACTGAAAACAAAAGCTAACATTACACAGACCAAACACTGGACGCTCCCAATCGGCTGGAGTGATGACGCAGGAGGGGCCGCAGCTGCTCTGACGCCAGGCCCGGCAGCGGACGGAGCGGGCAAGTGGCAGGAGCACGGCACCAGGAGCCTCACAGGGCGCCATGCCCCTGCAGGCCCCGCCACCGAGGACAGATGGTACTGTGTGAGCGAGAGTATGAGAAACGAGCTGTGAGAAGTGGCTGGACACAAGAAGACTGGTGACTTACATGCCAGCAATAATCATTTAGAAAAAGAATGAAAAAGGAGGTCCACTGACACCAAACCCAACACATCTGGGCACCATCTGGGTGCCTCTTAAAGGTAGCGGGTGTGGCCCAGATAAAGAAAATGACAGACCTCTTCCTGAAACAGAGAGGTCTTACTAAAGAAAATAGCTTACCCTCTGGGAAACTGTGGGTGCCTTTAAGTTAATATTCCCAAATGATTTTATGTTGTTTTTTTTTAAGATTTTATTTATTTGACAGAGAGAGAGCAGGGGCAGAGGGAGAGGGAGAAGCAGGCTTCCCGCTGAGCAGGGAGCCCGACGCGGGGCTCGATCCCAGGACCCTGGGACCAGGACCTGAGCCAAAGGCAGATGCTTAACGACTGAGCCACCCAGGCGCCCCGATTTTTTGTTTTGAGGACACTCCAGTTACAATCCCAAAAAGACCACTTTAAAACTGAAATAATTCAAAAGTAAACCCAGAAGGACTGTCCAGAAAGGAGGTGTTCCAGGCCTGGTCCCCTGCAGATAAAAGCCAGCAGGAGGACTCACCAGGGTAAATGTCAGGTGCAGGCCACCCAGGCACAAGCACCCCACGTAAGAGAAAAAGGCACGGGAGGCCCCACAGGCTGCTGGGGTGGCTCACTGGCAGCACGCCCTCCCCTCCCCCACCCCCGCGGTGGTTCATGCAGGTGAACCAGTCCACACGGCAGTCCTCTAACCTGCCTTAGAGGTCAGTACCTAGAAACCAGAGACTTCACACAAAAACCCAGACTTCCAGCTTGTCTTGAAAAAAAACCCAAGAGCTGGCCTTATGAGGCTACATCCTTTATGGCAAGCATGAGTTGCACCCTGGGATCACCAGCCAGTTTCCAGCCTCACATTGGGCCCCATGCCCCTGAAAGGCTACCCGCGGATTACAGAGTTTGCTTTAGAATTATCTAGAAACGCACACTTTGGCAAGAGTAAAGATGTTCTATGCACATTCATCAATGGCTCCACATCCTAAAGAGTTCATGACAACATCTTACACTGGTCAAAAGAGAAATCTAATTAAAATCAAACCCGGGGGCGGGGGGGGGGGCCACCTCGGTGGCTCAGTCGGTTAAGCAGCTGCCTTCGGCTCAGGTCATGATCCCCAGGTCCTGGGATTGAGCCGTGTTGGGCTCCCTGCTCAGCGAGAGCCTGCTTCTCCCTCTCCCTCTGCCTGCCGCTCTGCCTACTTGTGCTCTGTCAAATAAATGAATAAAATCTTTAAAAAAAAAAAAAAAATCAAACCCAGGGGCACCTGGGTGGCTCTGTTAGTTGAGTGGCTGACTCTTGATTTCAGCTCAGGCTGTGATCTTGGGGATGTGGGATGGAGCCCCATATTGGGCTCCACACTTAGTGTTGAGTCTGCTTGGGGTTCTCTCTCTCTCTCCCCCATACCCGCTCTAAAATAAATAAATAAAATAAAATAAAATCAAACCCATGATTGGGGCCCCTGGGTGGCTCAGTGCGTTAAGCGTCTGCCTTCGGCTCAGGTCATGATCCCGGGGTCCTGGGATCGAGCCCCGCATCAGGCTCCCTGCTCAGCAGGAAGTCTGCCTCTCCCTCTCCCTGCTGCTCCCCCTGCTTGTGCGCTCTCTCAAATAAATAAAATCTTTTTTTTAAAGATTTTTTTAAATTTATTTATTTATTCGAGACAGAGATAGAAAGAGAGAGAGCGCCCCTCAAATAAATAAAATCTTAAAAAAAAAAAAAAAATGAAACCCAAGAGCCAGGTGGGAGCACTCTTGCAACAGGCAGGCCCAGCAGGGGCCTGAAGCACCCTGCTGTGCCCCCACCACACCCCGCACGTGTGCCAACCCCACTCCACAGAGGCACTCACATGTGCAAGAAAAGCCTCGCAAGCCCGCTGTGTTTAAGCACAATTTCACTTTACCATCAACCAAGTTTTCGTGTATGACTTACATAGTTTTTACTTTAGGGAATTAAATCTGTTCCAGGAAGCATTCTCCAGAAAAGTGTTATAGCCAAGATGAGGTGACAAATGAACCATCTCACATGAGTAAGAAAACTCAGAAGACCCCACGGCTCCGTGGTGGTGAGGGGCACTTGGCAAGAGGTCTGCGCTCTCCAGCTGGAAGAACCAGAGGCGTCCACGGGGGGATGGGCTCTACTCTGGGGCAAGAGGACAGGGCCTGGGAGTCAGGGGAGGTCGGGGAGCAGATCACAAGGGAACTGCTCGGGGACGCTGGGCAGAGGGAACGGTGGGTGGGAGAGCACAGGAACTGAGGGAGGTTCGAGTCCATGTGCGACAGTGCACAGGGAAGTATGGATGCCACTGCCTCCAGGAAGCCCTCCAGCCTGGCAAAAGCACCACCATGAGGAAGGGCTAAGTCTACCACATTCCAGGCATGTCCCCAGAACCAGGTGGGGGAGAGCCCTGTGGCCAGCAGTCACTCAACACGATGCTCCGTGAAGGACCAAATGGGGTTCAAGGGAGGGTCTAATGTGTTCACTGACAGAGTCCAACACCTACAATGCTGCCTGACGGCGCATCCTATGTCTCTTTGCACAAGTACATGAAAAGCCATCGACAACAAGAGCCGCGGGAGCGTGGAAAAGCACACAGTGCACGGGAAGCACACAGCACTGTGCTAAAAAACAGACATATGAAAAAAAGACCAGAATAAAATACATGGAAATGTAATAATATTTACAAGTACTGGAATTATGAATGTTTATTTTCCAAGGATCCACTAACGTATGAGGTTATATATTTCAAAATGCAAAAATAAAAGCTAAAAAGAAACAAATACAAAGAACAGGAAGGCAGAATATACCGTATCCCCAAAATCAGGAGTCACACATCAATCAAGCATTTTCAAGCTCCCACTTCCACGGGACACACAGTGATGCTGACTTACAGGTGGCTCATCAGCCCTGCGGTGCCGGCGCAGCGGAGACAGGCATGACCTCCCAGACTACCTACGACAAAGACAGGGAGAAAACAAGATGTAAGTCTCAAACCAGGGGCTGTAGACCAATACCACCTTTAGGGTCTCCTTGGCAGGGTAAGTTTCTAGAAGCCTGTTCTGAGTGTTCGAAGGTTTCAGAGTGTTGCAAGTGAAAGGTCTGTCCAGTTAGGAACACGGGGTCTTGGGGTAGCCCTAGGAAAGAGGGGGAATCTGAGGCAGCCCGTGGCTTCAAACACCACAACCAGGGACACCAGGTTGCACCAGCCAAGGGTCCACAGAGCCCAGGCCTGGGGATCTCCCCAGGCAGGACCACTCCCTACTCGCTCCAGCTGATGCCAGGTTGCACGGGACCCCAAACGCACAGGCACCCCCACAGAGCAAGCAAGGGCCCCATCCAAACAACCCAACACCTTCTCTGCCCACAGGAGGGAGCAAGGGCTATGAGAATTATTGGTAAAACAAATGCCAAGAGCAACCTATTTCTTGGATAAACACTACTGATGAGTGTACAGCACACTTTTAGGATTTTGATGCATTTTTTGACACTTTTTCTAACTCAATGTGGTTTCCGTAGCATAAATTCAGAGTTTGTTCTCATGACCAATGCTCAGGCTTACCTGTGATCAAACCCTGTGCTGTGGAAACCACCTGTGGAGGGAACGAGACAGATACTAGGGGCAGCTGGGCCAGAGGCACCGTGCTGACAGGATGCCAGGCAGCAAGGCTGGAAAGGCAGGCCGGCATCCTAAGACCCTCCAGCCGCAGGAGAGCACAGAGCAGGTGCAGAGTGCTGAGGGCTCACTCCGACAGCCAGCGGGAGAAGGGAGGGGAGAAGACGGGCACAGCAGGGGACAGGTGCCAGCTCCAAGCAGGCCAGGCAGGGGAGACCCGAGCTGCTCCCGGCGGACCCTCTGGAGACGAAGACTTCCACTTGTCACTTCATGTATCTCAAGTGGAGCCCAGGGTCATCACAGGCAACTTCTCCTGTGTAGAAGGCTATTCCCATCAAAATTAGGACAGGTGACAGCCTTGTTTAAAGCAGGGGTCTGGGCTCCCAAGTGGTTACCATGATTCATCATCTTTTACATTTCAAACATTACATTTTTAGTCACACCAAGCCCTTCTCACCCCAGTTGAGGACCAAACAGAAGTGTCCCAGACCTGGGCCAGCCCCGCACCCCAAGAACATAGCTCAGCAATGGCTCCTGGTCCTGCACCTCCCCCCCCCCAGCAAGGAGACAAGCTGTCACAGCTCCCACAGCTCCCTGGCCTGCCCTCCTATCACTATGTTGTGTGAACTGCACATCCCCTGTCCTACCTGGCCCCTTCCCACAATCTCCCCACCCTGAAGGCTTCCCCAGCCCTCTAAGGAGCCCACTCCAGGAGGATGGGGTGGGGAGAGGATTCCAGGATATGGGCCACAGATGGGCCATTCCCTCCTTCTAGAAGTCCCTTTAATTTTTCCCCCCAACAACCAATTCTACAACTCTCTGGCCCCAGATGGGCAGCCTACCATTAGGTTCTGTCTGACCCTACCCGGAGTTAGTGCATACCCACAGGTTATTAAGGGCTCGGTCCCACAAGACTGCTCTGCTTCGGACACCCGTTGCAAGTAGGGTCCTCAGGTCACCCACACTTCTGCCAGCTACAAATGTGAGGGCTCCCACCACCACTTTCAGTTTTATTAATTCTCTGGAACAACACAGAACTCAGGAAAATTCTCTATTTCCTATTACAGTTTATTATAAAGCACATGAGGAACAGCCAGATGGTGAGGTACATAGTGCAAGGTGTGGAAGACTCCTGAGTGCAGGAGCCTCTGTCCCTGTGGGGTCGGCGTCTACAGATGCCACCAATTCCAAAGCTCCCCAAGCCTCCCTATTCAAGAGTTCTTTTCTTATCTTCATTACCTAGACGTGACTGATTATACCCTAGGCCACTGGCAACCGATTTCAATCCCCAGACCCCCTCCCCTCCCTGAAGGTTGGGATTCTACAGTAGAGCTGAACACTCCTCAAAACTGTCAAGGAAAGCCTGAGAAACGTGTCACAGCCGAGACTAAAGAGAAATAACAACCACATGTAACGCGGTGTCCTGGATAAGGTCCTGGGATACAGCAAGACATCAGAATTAAAATGTGCACAATAAAGGAAAGGTACTAATAAAAGAACAAATGCAAATAGAGAGTACGTAAATAACAAAGTAAAAAAAATCAGAATAAAGTGTGGGACAGAATAAAAGAAATCTGAATACAGTATGCAACTCAGATAATAACAATGTACCAATGTTGGTTTACTAATTGTGACAATGAGCCACACTGACGGAAAAGGTTAATACTGGGGAAATGTGCTGCAGAAAAGGGCCACTGCGCCCAGATCACAGTGTTTTGGAGGATCCAAGACTGGACTCGGAGTCCAGTCCTGGGTCTCCAGGACTCTGGATTCCCTGTTGGTCCTACAGCAAACAAAGTGTCTGAGCCACTCTCAGCCCCTCCCTGTATAATAAGGAACAGTGCTAACTACAAGAAACATTTGTGCTCCCAGAATGATACAACCACCACAACAAATTGTGAACTACTACAGAAACCTGAAGTGGCCAAAGTATTTTTATTACTATGCTTAGAAGAGATATAAGGAGAACTCTAACAGCAGAGGGACCTGGACACCCAGGCTATTCACACAGTCACTTCCTGCTGCTCAGTGCTCTTCCCATGGCTCCAAAGTTCTAAGCAGCCAACCAGCCATTACTGTTAAAAATTACAAGAATTATGTTTCTTGGGGGTGTTTTTGTGAATTGTAAAGCACTTTGAAATACATTTCACTTGAGTCTCTAATATTCATAAGAGAAGTCCTCATTTTAACAGATAAGGAACAAACTCAGAAAGGTTAATATATAAAAAGAATCAGAAAGGGAGTCTGGGCTACTGACACGTGGGCCCCTATGAGCCCCGAGTTAGGTGTGATCTCTGCGTAGACAGTATGGTCACCGAGGCTGGGGATACCAAGGGACCTGCCTGGGGCCATGCCCAGCAAGGCCTGGGGCCCCTCTACAGACACCCAAGAGTACTAGAAGGATATGGGCCCCACGGATGCCTACAAGTCCGCAGATCCAGCTCGTTCGTGTCTGCCAGACCCTGGCCATTTCTCCTCAAGAGTCCTAAACGTGGCCCAAGGGCACGACTGTCCCCGTGAGTGAACACCACGTTCCACCAAGCTTAACCACGACAGGAGCTCCCAAACAATCCTAGGGCTGACCGTCAGCGCGCTCCCTTCAAAAAAACTTTCCAAACCCCGCTCAGGACGCCGCGACCAGCAGCCGGGCGGCTAAGGTCACAGCGCGAGTGAGTCACAGGCCGCCGCCCCGCGCGCGGCACCCACACCCCGACAACGGGCTGGCCAGGGCGGGGCGGAGGGGCGAGGCGGCCCAAGGTCCCAGCACGGTGTGACCCCCCAGTCCGGGGCCGCGTCCGAGCACCCCGACCCACCCACCTACCCACCAGAGGGCCGCCGGGCGCCGCGGTGCCGCCCGAGGCCCGAGGCCGCCCGCCCGGACATCCGGCCCCCTGCTCCTGTCCTCCCAACGCCCCTGGTCCGGGCTCCAGGCCTCGGCCCCGGTCCCGGCCCCAGGCCCCGGTGACCCGCCGCCGCCTGCCCCAGCCCCTGTCCCAGCCCCCACCCGGCCCCCGCCGACCCGGTCCCCGCCGGCCTCGGCCCCCAGCCCCGCGTGGTCGGTGGAGCGCCGGCTGCTTACCCCTCGGGGCTGCGGCGCGGGGCGGCGGGAGGCGGGTGGGCCCCCGGCCGCGGCAGCTCCTCAGTAAGATGGACGCCATGTGCCCGGTCGCGGCGGCCGCTCCGGCCTCCTGCTGCTGCCTCCTCCTGCGCGGAGGCCGCGGCTGCTCGCCGGCCCGCCGGCGCCTCGGCCCGCCCGCGCGGACGGTTGAAGGCGGCGGTTGGCTCCCGGCGGCGGACGCTCAGCTCAAGGACCCGGCACCGGTGGCAGCCATATCCCCGCACAGCGTCCGGCGGCGCGGGGCGGGGCGGCCGGGCCTCCGCTCCCATTGGGCCCCTCGGGCGCCCGCCGCCCGTCAAGTGCGGGGCGGGCTCGCGCCGCCGCGGACTACGGGTCCCGGCGTGCCCCGCGACGGCCGGCCCCCGAGGCCGCGCGGCATTCTGGGGCCTGTCGCGCCGGCCGCGCACGCGTGCTGGGCTCTTCCGTGTCCGCAGCGGCGGCGGGGCGACGCGGAGACGCACGGGCCTCTTGGGGCACTCGGGGAAGGGCCCCGCGGAGGGACGCCGACGGACCGGCTTGTGTGGCCGAGCTCCTGCTAGCTGTCGGTCCCGTTCCGGGCCAGCGCACGCAGTCTCGAAGGGCCCTCCCCGGGTCCAGGCCCAGGGCGGCGCCCCCATCTCGCGGCCTGACCCGCCCAGCTGAGCGCTCACACGCCTGCTCCCAGAAGGCCTTCCACCCAGCCTGGACCTTTGAGCCCACACCCCCCCTTTCCTAAGATGGGGTCATGTTCGCAACGGTCGTGCGGGGACGGATGAGGTGACGCAGGGAAAGCAGGCCGGGGGAAATGGGGTGGGCGGCCCCTGGGGCCCAGTGGACATGGTCTCCCCAGGCAGGCCACTCTCACCTGCCTGCACTCCCAGCCCAGGGGCACCAGGCTCCTCGGGACTAGCCACCCTGCTTTCCCCGTCCCATGCTTTGCTTGGAAGGCCTTTTGCCTCCTCCTGGCCTCATCTGCTTGTCTCTTGTTCACTGATGTAATTTTAATCCCAGGTTACCGCTTGGGGAAGGTCCGGCAGTGCATACTCAGCGCAAATCTGTTCTCTGGGCTGCAGAGTGTGGAACTCCTAATCTTAGCAGGCTCCCCGCTCTTGAGAGAATGAATTTGGTTGAATGGCATGTCTCCCTAGGAGGCTCAGCCCTCGCCATCAGGAAGAAATAGCCTGCCTGCAGTGGTTTTCCTTTCCAGGACTGCCAGATGCTGGACTGGGATGGGCCTGGAGTCCCCATCTGAGGTGGGAGAAAATGGAGCTAGGTAGTGCAGGGCACTTGGGAGATACAGAAGTGCTTGTATTGGCACTGGGCAGTGAGCGCTACAGACATCATACACAGAGTTAATCCAAGCAGGTGGATGCCTGAAATTGAGGCCTCTAAGGTCAAAAAAACATAAAGCCAGGCTCCTTTCCTATACATCCCCCAGGAGGCAATGGTGGGATAAGGAAGGACAGTTCTTGTCCCCCATCCCAGGATCAGGTCTGAGTCAGGGCAAATAGGTGCTCAGGATCAGACAGGACCGGCCTTCCAACGCCCAACGTGTAGGAGAACGCTTGTGTTAGTACTAATAGCTGACATTGGCCCTCAGCTCCCAAAGGCTCTGTTCCAAAGCCGTCAAGGGGCAGGGAAGGAGGCTCCACAGAGTGGGTGAGAATCAAAGCTGGTCCCTAACAATGCTGTTAGTGTCTGCAGGACTTTGAAGGACAATGGATGGGGGGAAGGCCCCATCTGCCTCTGTATTGCCCCGGAGTCCAGGTGTGAGGAAATAAGACAACAATGCTCCCTTGCCCTTGGCACAATTCACCTGTGGCTCAGCTAGGTTGCATGAGAGAAGAAAAATTAGGGTCTCTATAGAGGGGGCGCTTCTGAACACCCGTCTGTGATGCTTTCTGCAGCTCCACTGCCAGGGTGGAATTTTGGAGAAAGTCATTTTTAACAATACCTTTATTGGTTTTTCTTTTTTCTTTTGTTTTTTTAAGATTTTATTTATTTATTTGAGAGAAAGTCAAGCATAGGGAAGGGCAGAGGGAGAAGCAGGCTTCCCGCAGAGCAGGGAGCCGGATGCAGGGCTCGATCCCAGGACCCTGGGATGATGACCTGAGCTGAAGGCAGACGCTTAATGACTGAGCCACCCAGGCGCCCCCCCTCTTTATTGGTTTTTCTAATTAGCTAAAGAACATGTGCTTGTTATAAGCATTTTAAGTTCATAAAAATAAATATAAAGCGGCGCCTGGATGGCTCAGTCGGTTGAGCATCTGCTTTCGGCTCAGGTCATGGTCCCAGGGTCCTGGGATTGAGCCCCACCTCGGGCTCCCTGCTCAGCGGGGAGCCTGCTTCTCCCTCTGCCTCTCACCCCTGTTTGTGCACTCACGCTCTCTCTCTCTCAAATAAATAAGTAAAATCTTTAAAAATAAAAAATATAAAGAAACAAGTAGAGGGGTGCCTGGTTGGCTCAATCCATAGAGTATGCAACGCTTGATCTTGGGGGTCACAAGTTCAAGTCCTACATTGGGCATAGAGCTTACTTAATAATAAAAATAATAATTAAAAAACAGGTAGAAATCTGGGATCCTGCCAGCTTGCTATCCATACCCTTAATGCCACGTGAATGGCTGCTTTCCTGCCCCCCACCTACTCATGCAGCAGTCCAAGTGCACAGAATCCTGGCACAGTGGGTCTGTTTTTATATCATGGACTCTGGTTTTTTTTCTTCTCTTTTTTTACGGGCCTTTTTCTTTTTTCTGTGCTCCCCACAAATTGAACATAATCTTCCATAGTCGGTCCATGTTTACACAAGTGACAAGAGTCCAGAGAAACAGAGTGGGATATTCAGGCAGCACAAGTGCCCCAGCTAGGGAGGTTAGAGAATCTGCCTAGGGGTGAGGTCAGGAGTCAGGTTAGGGATCTGGTGGCGGGGGAGGGCCATGTTAGACATTGGGTTAGAGAATAAGGTTAGGGGTCAGGTTACGGATCAGGGTATCAGAGGAAGACTCAGCTGTGTGCCGTGCTGCAGCCAGGATCAGTCTCAGAGCAGGTGAAACTGGATTTGACAGGGTTGGAGTTTTGCTCAGAAGTGTGATGAACGAAGAGAGGGACAGTAGAGTTTAAGATGTGTGCAAAAGAGTGGCCATAAGGCTTGACTGGGAAATTTAAACGGGATGAGGGGAAGGCAGGAAAAGGGAGCAGCTGAGGACAGCAGAAAGTGGCAGGACCACTGGCCTGTGGGGGCTGCTGGTCCTGGAGGGCATTGGGACTCCGGTACCACAGCAAGTGAGCTGGCAAGAGAGGGATGCTCACAGTGGGTGGTGGGTGGCCTGCATTTATTGGCCGTGGCAAGGCTAGAACGTGAGCCCATGAGAAGGGCCTGAAGTGAGGCTGGAGGGCAAGGCTCTTGGGGTGGAAGAGCCAGACACCTTTGAGCGCCATGGGGAAAGGCAGGCCTTCCTCCAGTTGAAAGCAGCCTTAGCCAGGCACACACAGCAGAAGGAGCAGGTACTGGCCTCCAGCCCTCTCTCGCTGTTGGAACAACCTACACAACCAAGGTGGTGGCCCGGACTAGAGTATGGAAAAGACATTCATTTGAGACCTTGAGTACACAGGAATGATGTCTGTGGGGCTGAGACTAAGCCTACTCGCTCCCACAGCAGCGCCCATTCTCTGTCTCCATAACAGAACCTTGAGTTTCTGGGTTTCCTGGAAAACACCATTCAGCAGCCTCCCTTGACCCTTCTGCTTCTGCCTGCCAAGTGCTGTGGGTGATGGGATGGAAAGGACGGACCCTGGACTGCCGACCTTGGACTTGTTTTACCTAAGAGCGAGAAAACATCTATCTTTTCTCAGCCACTGTTATTTGAAGGGGTTTCTGTATATAAAGCTGAACTTAATCATAACGGATTCAAGGACAGATCCTTAGAAGCTAGATTGCTTGAGTCAGTGTGACTGCCAATGTATATTTTTGTAAACCTTTAAAATTAAAGGTTTTATTTATTCATTAGAGAGAGAGCACAAGCAGGGGAAGCAGCAGGCAGTAGGAGAAGCAGGCTCCCTGTTGAGCAGGGAGCCTGACACAGGACTCAATGCCAGGACCCTGAGATCATGACCTGAGCTTAAGGTAGACGCTTAACCAAACAAGCCACCCAGGTGCCCCTCATTTGGTGCTTTTTAACAGCTTCTGTTTTTTCTATTGAAGTTTCTCTTCATTCATTAGACCACATTTTCCTTTAATTATTGAGTATCTTCAAACACCTGCCTTAAAGTTTTTCTCCGTCAGACCAAAAACTGGGCTTATGGTTTTCTATTAATTGCTTTTTTCCCTTGATAGTGGCCGCATCTCTTTTCTTTGCATGCTGAGTGACTTTATTGTTCATTAATTGCTGTGGATGATACACTATAGTCTCTAGATTCTGTTATCTTCCTTTGACAATGACAATGTGTGCTTTCCGATCATTGAACACCCTGCAGCTTCTGCCTTCCTTTGGATTCCCACTCTGGGGAAGCCACCCCCTGTGTTGGAAGGATACTCAAGCAGCCTGTGGAGAGGCCCACATGGGGAGGAACTGAAGCCTCCTGCCAATGGCCAGCACCACCTGAGTAAAGCTGTTTCCGCAGCCTATCTGCAGCCCCAGCCAAGGTTTTGGAAGGTGGCTGCTCTGGGCATCATCTTGTCTGCGACCACAGAACTAGCTATCTCGCCCATTCCCAATTCCTGACCAAAGCAACTGTGTGTGATAATATTTACTATTGTTTTGAACCACTAAGTTTTGGGGTAACATGATACACAGCAATAAATAACAGACAAGATGTGTCTAGAGGATGTTTTGCTATAGGATGAGGCTCCAGTTCCTAGGGCATGGATCCTAGTGTCTCAGCTGCATGCCAGGGACATTCATGGGCTTGAACGAGGTGTCCACTCTAGCTACCCCAGAGCTCCCACAACAGTTGTTCTCTGGGAAGTCTGGGGGCCTCACCCCAAGTATGTGCAGCCCTGTCTTCAGCCAAGGACAGTGGGACATCTTAGACTCCCCTGGACACACTTGCTGGTCCTCCAGT